AACAACCCACATGTGGGAGCTCATTGGAGGTATTCCCAGCTAAAAGAGCTGGTGGATACATCTGCTTTCTCTCCTCAGCTAACTGCAGTAATCAAACAGTCTCCAGCTTCTTCCTGAAAGGAGTTTGTCTATAAATCTAGTACTTCATCATCTTTTCTCTATTCTTTTTTCTTTAAGCACCTCATCTTCTAAGGCTGCCTTTGATGGACTGACTTCTAAATTACCTAGCTTTAGGAGGCGATGAGGTTCAGTATTCATTGTGTGTTCCAAGCCACAAAATAAAGAGGTAGCTCTAAATAGGTACAAAAGCATTCCCAGAGGGTATCCCTTCTGCCTTAGCACAGAGTAAGTAGACAAAAACACATAGTTTCCAGTTTCCCCCGATGGGCTAGATTGTATATTTAATAGCTTGACTTCCCCGGGTGCTGCCTGGAGGTTGGGCTTCTAATTAGCTTGCGTTGGAAGCTGAAGGGACTGGCAAATAATAGCTCGCTGGGAGCCTAAAGAGGCATGTGGGCAATTCCCATGCTGTTGGGACACCAACAGATTTTGACACACCCTGATCTCCTGACCACAAAAAACAAAGACAGTGGTTTAGGCAAACACCGAGGCTGAGGAAAATAAAGGTTCAGGTCAAGGTTATTTTTTAATTTATTTTATTTTTTTTTATTTTTTATTTTTTTTTTAAGATTTTATTTATTTATTTGACAGAGAGATCACAAGCAGGCAGAGAGGCAGGCAGAGAGAGGAGGAAGCAGGCTCCCTGCTGAGCAGAGAGCCCGACGCGGGGCTCGATCCCAGGACTCTGAGACCATGACCTGAGCCGAAGGCAGCAGCTTAACCCACTGAGCCACCCAGGCACCCCAAGGTTATTTTTTTAAAAAAAGATTTTATTTATTTATTTGACAGACGGAGATCACAAGTAGTCAGAGAGGCAGGCAGAGAGAGAGGAGGAAGCAGGCTCCCTGCAGAGCAGAGAGCCCGATGTGGGGCTCGATCTCAGGATCCCAGGATCATGACCAAGCCAAAGGCAGAGGCTTCAACACACTGAGCCACCCAGGCACCCCTCAGGTTAAGGTTATTGACAAAGATTATTTCTTACATAAGGCAAGTCTGTCAAGACTGGGAGATGGGGCTGTTTTATCTAATGTACAAAAACCAATACAGAAAGTCAAGGAAAATAAAGAACAGAGGAATATGTTCCAAACAAACAAACAACAACAACAACAACAGAACTAGATAAATCTCCAGAAACCAATCTTAATGAAACATAGATAAGTAATTTACCTGACAGGGACGTCCAAATAATGGTTGTAAAGATGCTCACCAAGGTCAGGAGAGCAATGCATGTGTAAAGTGAGCATTTCAACAAAAAGACAGACTATGTTTTAAAAGTACCAAACAAATCACAATAACCAAACTGAAAAATTCAATAGAGTGGTTCAACAGCAGATAAGATCAGATGGAGAAAAGGATCAACAAACTCAAAGTTAGATCAGTGGAAATCATCTAATCAGAAGAGCAAAAATTTAAAAAAAAACAATGAAAAAGAGTGAAATAGCTTAACTAATTTATGGAACACAATCAAGTGGACAAACATACCTATTATAGGTGTCCTAGAAGGAGAAAGAGAGAATAGTGCAGAAATGTGTTCAGAAAAATAGTGATTAAAAACTTCCCAAATGTGGGGAAAGAAACAGACACTAAAATCCAGGAAACTCAAAGAGAAACAACAACAATAAAAAATTAATCCAAAGAGACCCACACCAACACACATTATAATTTAATTGTTAGAAAGTAAAGACAAAAAATAAAACACAACAAAAGAAAAGTGACTTTTTACAAACAAGAAAACCCTCATAAGACTATAAGCAGATTTTTTCAGCAGAAACCTTGCATGCTTGAAGGGAGTGGAATGATATATTCAAAGTGCTAGAGAAAAATAACTACCAGCCAAGAAGTGCTTTATCCATGAAAGTTTCCTTCAGAACTGGAGGGGAGATAGATTTTGGCAGTCAAACAAACCTGAAGGAGTTCATTTCCACTAGAGTAGGCTTACAACAAATGTTAAAATGAATTTCTTCAAGTTGGAATATATTCAGTACAAATGGAAACCAGAAGAGAGTAGGAGTATCTATACTTATATCAGGCCAAATAGACTTCAAGGCAAAAGTATGGTCAGAAAGAAAGAAGGCCATTATATAATGATAAGAAGGTCAGTTTATTCAAAGAATATAACACTTAAAAAATACATATGTACCCAACAATGGAATGCCTGAATATATAAAGCAGATATTGACAGATCTGAAGGGAGAGATAGAAAACAGTAAAAATAATAGTGAGGGACTTCAATATTCCACTTTCAACAATGGCTAGATCATCCATGCAGACAATCAGTAAAAAAATATTGGATTGGAGCTACATATTAGACCAAATGGACCTAACAGATACATACACATATTCCATCATACAGCAGCTGAATACACATTTCTCTTAAGTGCACATGGAACATTCTCCAGGATAGATTATATGTTAGATCACAAAGCAAGTCTTCACAAATTTTAAAAGATTGGAATCATACACAGAATCTTTTCTGACCACAATGGCATACAACTAGAAATCGATATCAAAGACAAAAACTGGAAAATACACAAATATGTGGAGATTAAACGATATGTTCCTAAACAGTGAGTCAAAAATTCTTTTTAATTAAAAATTTTTTCAGACAAATGAAAAAGGAAACACTATATACCAAAACATACAATGCAGCAAAAACAATTCAAAGAGAAAAGTTTATGATGATAAATGCTTAGCTCAAGAGAAAGATCTCAATCTCATCTCACACCTCAAAAAACTTTAAAAAAAGAAATAAGCATAAAATTAGTAAAAAAAAAGAAAGTAACTACCAGAGCATAAATAAATAAAATGAGACTAGAAAAATAATAGAAAAGATAAATGAGACTAAGGGTCTTTTTTAAAAAAGATAAACAAAATTGATTAACCTTGTTAGACCTACTAAGAAAAAAAGAGAAAAGACTCAAATGAATAAGACCAGACATAAAAGAAGAGAGATTACAATAATGACACAAAAGTGAAAAGAATCATGAGACCACCATGAACAATTAGTAACTAACAAATTGGATAACCTAGAAGAAACTGTTGAATTCTTAGAAACATGCAACCTGTAAAAACTAAATCATAAAGAACTATAAAATTTGATCAAACCAAATACTAGTAAGAAAGCTGAATAATCACAAACTCTCAACAAATAAAAGCTCAGGACCAGAGGACTTCATTGGTGAATTCCACCAACCATTTAAAGAATTAATGCAAACCTTTCTCAAATCTTTCAAAAAATTAAAGAGGAGGATACACCTCCAAACTCATTTTATACGGTCAGCATTATCTTGATACCAAAGTTAGACAAGGATACAATGAGAAGATGCAAAATTCCTAAAGGAAGCCACATTCAGCAACATATTAGGAGGATCATACACCAGGAGCAAGTGGATTTTATCCCTGTATATTAGCCCACAGCTAACATCATACTCAGTGGTGAAAGCTGAAAACTTTTCCTCTAATATTAGAGAAAAGACAGAGATGTCTACTCTTGCCGCTTATCTTCAACATAGCACTGCAGGTTGGGAAAAGAGATAAAAGTCATCCAGGTAAGTAAGAAAAGAGGAAGTGAAATTGTATCTACCAATAACATCATCGTATGTATAGAAAACCTTAAATATTCCACTCCCCCCACCAAAAACCTACTAAAACTAAGAAGCAAATCAGTAGAGTTGCAGAATACAAAGTCAGGATACAAAAATGAGTTGTAGTTCTAGACTCTAACAATTGTGAGGAAGAGAAATTAAGAAAGTCCCATTTATAATAGCAACAAAAAGAAAAAAATGCTTAGGAATAGTTTTAATCAAGGAGGTCAAAGATCTGTACACTGAAAAACTATAAAACATTAATGAAAGAAGTGTAAGAAGATGCACATAAATGGAAAAAGATTCTGTGTTCATGGACTGAAAAATTATTATTGTGCAGATGTCCATTCCACCAAAAGCAATCCTTATTAGGGCAATCCTTACCAAAATTCTGATAGAAATAGAAAAAATAATCCTAAAATTTGTATGGAACCATAAGAGACCCCAAATACCAAAAAGATGTTGGGAAAGAAAAACAAGGCAGGAGATGTTATACTTCCTGACTTCTAACTATGTTACAAAACTATAATAATCAAAACAGTATGATATCAGCATAAAAGCAGACATATAAATTACTGGAACAGAATAGAGAGCCCAGAAATAAACCCATGTATATATGGTCAGGTAATTTTAATCAACTTGGTTGTGGGAGGTCTTTCACAATGTGTGTGTGTATGTGTGTGCGTGTGATCACCACTTTTTACACTTTACATTACAGTGTTATTTGTGAATTAGACCTCAGTGAAGCTAGTTGAGGGTAGGGCAGGGAGAGGGAGGGTAAAGGCAAGAGAGAGGAAAATTATACTACCCTTAGGATAATGTCACATCCTGGCAAAAGTGGCAGGATATGCTTATTAGCAATACCTCGCTTGTAAGATAGGAGATCCAGGAGAAGCAGGAGGGCAGAATGTAGCTGAAAAGAGTATCACTGAGATCCAGAAGTGTAGGAAACAGAACAAGACCGGGGTCTGCTGCAGGAAGGTCTGGCCATGCCAGATCTTCCAGACATGAATGGTTTGAGAACAGGGACTGTGGTGGTTCTGTTGACCTGCTTTGAGAACAAGGACTGTGGTGGTTCTGTTGACCTGGTTTGAGAACAAGGACTGTGGTGGTTCTGCTGACCTGGTTTGAGAACAGGGACTGTGGTGGTTCTGTTGACCATTTGTACTGCTTCTCAGAGCCCAGACAACACACACCACTTTACTGCTGATTACAATTTGTTCTTTCTCCCTGTCCACCCATCCACTTCTCCTGCCACATCAGCCCACCCAACTCGGTCTTGTGCTCAGGATTGCTTCACAGTGGCACACAGTGCCACTGGTTCCAGTTACAGGGCAGGGTGATATGATTCAGACTGTGACTAATTTTCTGTATGATTTTGTTGGTCACGACTGTATGGTAATAGCTAGGGTAGTCAAGTTTGTCCAGAGCATGGTTGTGAACATCCATGAGATAGGAGATGAGACCCTTGCCCCGGTACTCAGGCACAGTAGCCCCCATCCGTATCTCGCCTGTCTGGTCCATCAGGCTCCAAGACAAAGGGGTCCCCTCGGGCCCCAGCAGGCAGAAGGTGGGGAAGGTCCGGATGCAGCGCTCAATGAACCTCTGGCTCCTCTCATTGCCCCCAAAATGCCAGAATTTATTCACCAACGGAGCATGGGTAACATCCAGGGAGGAGAGTTGAAACATCTCTTGGTTGCTGTTGAGAACAAGGAAAAAGAATACCCCAAAATATCACACATACTGTGGAGTATTATTTTTGTTTTCCCCCAAATTGTCTTCAGACGATGCAGAGTGGAGCGGAGTAAAGGCATAGACTCTGCAGCCAGATTGCCTGAGTTCATCATTTTTTTATAAAATGGAGATATTAACAGAGTGGTGCTATTAGTAGCACCTCTGTAAATAATATAAGAGGTATCACATGATAAGTACCTAGGACCCATGCCACACAAAAAATAATTATACAAAAATTAACATTATTTTTGTCAACATTGCAGTGACTTTCCACTTAAGATGGGAGAATTGATAACATCCCTGTTCTACACATAACGGTAGGTAAGCAGAAAATAAGCAAGTGCCTCAAAGCATACACTAGCAAGCTATAAAGCCAGGGCTTGGAATCTTGTAATCCTGGAATCTTTGTCTGTTGGTGTCAGAGGCTCCTTGACCACTGTGGGAGAGCTGAAGCCCAGGGAGGGGCAGTGATGTGGAGTTCGGGCAGCCCCCACCTGACAGAACACTGAAGTCTGAAGACTGCTACAGGGGTGGAGAAGGTTTTGGGAGGTGTCCTGGAAAGAGCCCAGAGTATGGAAGCAGGACATGTAAACATGAGCCCCAGTTATGCCCTTAACCATCCACATGACCCTGACAAGCTGTTTCATCAACTGGACCTGTTTTCCATCAGGAAAATGTGGATAATGTCTCCTCCTTTGTCTGTCTCATGGGATGAACAAGAAATCAAATGAGAGTATAGATTTGGAGGTACCTTTCAGAGGTAAGTTGCAATACAGTGTGAATAAATCTTTTCCAAGTTTATTAACACAGAGAGGGCCATAGGATTGGAGATCTCAAGATAAAATCCCTATATCAGTTTTAATTCTATTCAGGCATAAGTGGAGGGCAATATATAATGTGTTTTGCTCTGAGATGTAATTCATTGCATATTTATGAAGCATCTACTTGATGCTTTGTTGTGGCTCCTGAAAACTTACTGGTGACCACCATGAAGAGTGTCCTCTGCTCTTGTGGAGTTTGAATCGTTGCAAGGGAGGAATCCAACAACAGAAACGTCAATAAATTCACAAATAAGCTGGTTTTGGATAGTGATAAGTGCACTGAGGAAAATAAAAACTGGGTTTCGTGATGAAGAATTATGGGAAGGGGTGGTTTCGGGTTGCTCTGAGGAGAACTCGCTAAGGAAATGACATTGGAGATAATGAGTGGCAAGAATGAAACAGATATGCAAAGATCAGAGGGAAGGGAGATTTTAGGCAAAGAATAAATGCAACAGTCCAAAGGCATATGTGAATGTATGAAATCAAGCCGGAGAAAAAAGGCCAAAGCTGCTGGTGGAAGTAAGCAAGAGGGACAAGATGAAGTCCAAGAGGTGGTGGATAGCAGGTCTTGCTAGGACCCTGAATGTCTGTAATGGGCGTGTGAGCTGAGGAACACTGATGGCTTTTAAGTGGATGAATTGACACAACCCATGTCCAAAAGGATCACGCTGGAAATGGATTGTAAGGAGGCAATAGTGAAGATAGGGGAAGACGTTGGGAGGCCACTTCCACGCAGAAAGATGAGAGTAACCCAGAGTATCTTTTTCCAAAACTCACATGACTTTGCATCTGCCAGATTTAAGAGGTAAGTTCTTTGCCTCCAGCAAGGAAGGGACCAGTTTACTTTCTCTCTCGGGCAACATATACATAATGCCTTGTTGTTGCTCAACCTTGACCAGTTTAACAGCTGCAAGATTTTGTATCACTTCGTTCAGGCTGGACTGTGAACCTAGAGAGGGGTAAGGTGAAGTGAGAAGTAATTGGCTGTGTAGATGCTACAGAAACTTCCTGGTGGAAATATGCAGATCTTAAAGTCAGGCAGTGTTGCTTCTGGGGTCACCATTAACCATGTGACCACGCCCAAGTCACTCTCTTATGCAAGCAGATAATACTAGAAATCCTGACTATATCACTGCACAATCAATGGAGAAATGGTATCATGCCCAGGTATTGGTCTAATACTATGTTTAATTCTTCCCTTGAACCTGTTTTAAGTACTTTCACCGCCCTCTTTTTTTACACATGCAAAAACTGAATAATAGGTACACCACTTGCTCAAATCACAAAGCAGGTAACAGGCAGAGCAAGGATGCCACCTTAGAGAATCTGACCTTGGAGGGTGTGCTCACAGCCATGGTAGTTGTACTTGTGACCTGGAGGTGTTCTCTGGCACAAGCAACTGTCATTCTTATTCTAGGAATGGAAGACCAGAGAGGGAGGGAGCTCTGCTCTCGCACCTAATCCCCCTAAGGGACCCTGAATATGTCTGCAAAAATATATCATGGATCCTTAGCTAACAAGAAATTCCATTACTCACAGTCCCTTGTGTCAAGTCCACAGTTTGCAATGTTTGAATTCTGTTCCACTGAAGAGGTGGAAGCAGCTGAGGCAAAGAATGAACATCAGGCTGAATGGGGTTTGGTAGAGCTTCCTACCCCTACAAAGGCTGTAGGGGAATGTTCTCAGGATGAAAAGTGACCCTGCAGGAGTAGCCATGAATAGTCATAGAAGCCAGCACACATCCCAGATCCCAAACTTACTTTGGATCTGCAAATGTTGTTTCCAGTTGATGACACCCGATGCGCCAAGGAATTCTTGACAGTTTGGGGGATTCTTAGAATAGATTTGGTAGGTGTTGGTGTGGTGATCAAAATCATCTGTCATTTCCTGTTTGGTTAGGTGATGTAAAATAAATCATATTGATTATACCCAGAGATTAGAATACTTTGCCTTAGTCTGTCATTATACTGTGCTATTTTATAAACTTATAAATATTTGATATTTTTCTTGATGTACTACCATTATTCCTGAATCATTTACATCATGAGAGCAAGTCAGGGATTTAATCACTCAATTTTTGGTTAAGAAAAACTTGCTGAACTAGGTATTTATATGGTGTGTTACAATTTCAAATCAACCAAATGTGCATTGGTTTAGAAAACATTCTTCTATGATTCTGTAATCTTCAGGAGAAAGAAGGTATTACTGTCAAAGGCAAGTTTTCTTTGAAAGAGCAAGTCTTATTCTATTTAAGAGTCTCAAAGAAAAAACAGTCTCAGAACCAATGGATTATAAACGTAACAATGTTGAAATTGACACAGGTAACCTTGTATTAGAATTTTCACTTATATATGACATAGCTACATGAATTAAAGACACATGATGTCTTTATTTTTCCTTTTTAAAAAAATTTAAATTTTTAAGTATAACAAATATGCAGTGTTATATTAGTTTCATATATTTATAATGAAATATAAAATATATTTTTTATAAATATAATGATTCAACAAATTTGTTAGTACATTACTCAGTGCTCATCACAATAAATGTACTCTTAATCCCCTTCACCTACTTCACCCATCCTCTGGCAACCACCAGTTTTTTTTCTGTATTTAAGAGTCTGGTTTTTTGTATGTCTCTTTTTTCTTTGTTTATTCATTTGTTTTGTTTCTTAAATTCCACCTATGAGTAAAATCATATGGCATTTGTCTTTCTCTGACTGACTTATACACTCTTAAGTCCATCTACATTGTTGTAAATGAAAAGATTTCATTCTTTTTTAATGGCTGAGTAATTTTTATTATATATATAATATATATTATATAATATTATATTTATATGTAAAGTTATCTTTATATTATAAAATCATTTTCTTTATTTATATATTGATAGACACTTGGATTGCTTCCAAATCTGGGTTGTTGTAATAATCTTGCCATAAACATAGGGACACATGTATCTTTTCAAATTAGTATTTTCACCTACTTTAGGTAAATACCCTATATATACATACATATATATTGGGTAAATATGCAATAGTGGAATTATTGGATCATATGGTAATTTAATTTTTAAGTTTTTTAAGGAACCTCCATACTGTTTTCCATAGAGACTGCACTAATATACATTCCCAACAGTGTTAGAGTGTTCCTTTTATTCCACATCCTCACCAACACTTACTTCTTGTGTTTTTTCATTTGAGCCATTCTGACAGGTATAAAGTGATATCTCATTGTGTTTTTATTTTGCATTTCCCTGATGATTAGTGATATTGAGGATCTTTTAAATGTGTTGGCATCTGTATGTCTTCTTTGGATAAATGTCTATTTAGGTCCTCTGCCCATTTTTTAATTGAGTTATTTGTTTTTTTGGTGTTGAGTTGTATAAGTTCTTCATATATTTTGGATATTAACACTTTATTTGACACATGATGTCTTTAAAATGTAAACCATAATGCACTATTATTTTTTAAAAAATAATTTGCATTCCCCCAAAAATTGAAACACAAAATTTGTTCAAGAAGTTCTTCTCAAAGTTAACAAATCAGAGTTCAGGTTATTTGAAGATGGAGGGAAGAGTCAGGAAACAACTACCCAACAAGGGTAGAATAGCTAGAAAGTGCTACTCAGAAATGCACTCATAGCTTCATTTTTCAGTTCAATAATTAATGTAAATGTCTTCATTTTTGTATCCTGTTTAGTTCAAAAGCACTATACATTTAAATTTTATTTGAAAATTTTTGTATTAAAATGACATTGTATGATTACACATTTTGTATGCATACATTTTTACTTTATATTTTCCAATATGCTTATATTTGTCTTTGAATTATATTCAGCACTTAGTTTAAGTGATCTTTAAAATTTGACACTGAAAATACGTTCCCAAATACAGGCATTGTGGTTTGTTCTTTATATTTTCTTAACTTTCTTCATATTTAGCTCTACACATTTTTAGGTGTTATGTTTTTCTGTTTAGAATGCACCCTCTATTCTTGTCAGTCTGCCAAAAACCTATTTATCTTCAAAATACAGTTTTGCTGAACTGTCTGCCTATAAGCCTCTGATCCTCTATGTGCATACCCTGACATCTGTGGTTTTAACCGTCTCTTAGACAGTGTTGCTGGTATCTTATATGGTGTGTGTTTCTATATGTTTTTGTACATTTTCACTCCATTTTGTAATTTATTCCTTTATCTGTCTTCTGTGAACTTCTTGAGGACAGCAACTCACTTACCATCAAACAATTCATTTCTTTTTTTTTTTAAGATTTTATTTATTTATTTATTTGACAGGCAGAGACACAGCCAGAGAGGGAACACAAGCAGGGGGAGTGGAAGAGGGAGAAGCAGACTTCCAGCTGAGCAGGGAGCTGGATGTGGGTCTCGATCCCAGGACTCTGGGATCATGACATGAGCCAAAGGTAGACGCTTAATGACTGAGCCACCCAGACAACCCTCACACAATTCATTTCTGTATCCCCTGGGTCTGCCACATTGCCAGGTGCATGGTAGGCACATAGCAAATAAGAACACAAAAGTGTACTCATTCTACATCTGGCACCTTACCGCCTCCTGAGGTCAGATAACCACTGTTGTAAAGTCAGGCCACTTGTCCACCAGGGCCTTTAGCTTGAATGGGTTTCTTTGGTTCATGTGGAAGACAGTCCCATAAACCTGCAGCATCCCAAGAAAGTCAGGGAGTCAGCTTATTAGGAAAGCATGGTAAAGTAACTTATTTGATCAGGACAATGATTATTTCTATGAAATCAAGGTGATAACTGATAAGCATGTGGTTCAAATCACCTTCAGATTCCACTTCATTACTCCAAATAGAAATAGGTTTGGGGAGTCAAACCATGAACATTATATGAATAGAGTTAAATATCCAGATAAACAAATTAATTAAAAATCATCCACTATCACACTGTAGAACTTAGTATTATATCTTTCCATTTTATTTCATTTATTGACAAATACATAAATTTTTAAGCAATGAAATTACCTAATGTATATTAGTTTACCACATATCCCCTCCAGACACACAGTATACTATGGGCATATTTCCATGTCAATAAATACCAATCTATATAATCATTTTTAATGACTGTATAATATCCATCATAGGAAAGAACTCCAGTTCAATTTTATTTTCTACATCTATTAAGAGAAGATCATCTGGCTTTTTTCTTTAATCTATTGATACAATGAAATACACCGAATTTTAATGTTGAACCTGCCTTGGATTCTCAAGATAAATTCCCCTTGGTTATAATATATTATCCTTTTGATATATTGATGGATTTGACTTGATAGTATTTTGTTGAGGATTTTTGGGTATATGTTCATGAGTAATATTGTTTTCTAGTCCTCTCTTTTTTAAAACAAAATCCAGGGGCGACTGGGTGGCTCAGTGGGTTAAAGCCTCTGCCTTCAGCTCAGGTCATGATCCCAGGGTCCTGGGATGGAGCCCCGCATCAGGCTCTCTGCTCCTCGGGGAGCCTGCTTCCTCCTCTCTCTCTCTGCCTGCCTCTGCCTACTTGTGATCTCTGTCTGTCAAGTAAATAAATAAAATCTTAAAAAAATAAAATAAAATCCACTTCTGGTTTTCATATTAGGGTAATTCTGGATTTATAAAATGAGTTGCGAAGTGTTTACTCCTCTGATCTATTCTGCAAGAATTTGCATAGAATTGATATTATTTCTTCCTTACATGTGTGGTAGAAATTGCCATGAAAGCCATATGAGCAATGGTATTTTCTTTGTTGGAAAATTTTAAATTATGAAATCAGTTTCTGCAATTCATACAGGATGATTTAGGTTATATTTTTCTTCTTCAATGACTGTTGGTAATTTGTACTTTTCACAGAACATAACCTGCGAAATCTATGGGCACAGTATTGATAATGGTATGTCTCTATTATCCTTAAAATGTTTATGGGATTGGTATTAGTGTCCCTGTTTCATTCCTGATCTGATTTGTGTCTTCTTTCTGCATTTCTGAGTCAGAAGTTTATCAACATTATTGATCTTTTCAATGAGCCAGATTTGGTTCATTTTCTTTTTTTTTTAAAGATTTTATTTATTTATTTATTTGACAGAGAGAGAGATCACAAGTAGGCAGAGAGGCAGGCAGAGAGAGAGGAGGAAGTAGGCTCCCTGCTGAGCAGAGAGCCCGATGCAGGGCTCCATCCCAGGACCCTGAGATCATGACCTGAGCTGAAAGCAGAGGCTTTAACCCACTGAGCCACCCAGGAGCCCCTTGATTAATTTTAATTGATTTTCTCTTCTCAAATTCATTGCTTTCTGCTCTTATCTTTTATAATTTCCTCAATTCTCTTTGCTTTGAGGTTAATTTGTTCTTCTTTTTCTGATTTTTCAGGTAGAAACTTAAAGTGCTGATTTCAGATCATTGTTTTTTTTCCTTTCAGTAAAGCGCTTAATGCTATATATTTCCCGCTTATCACTGCTTTAGCTGCATCCCCAGACTTTTGATATGTTTTGCTTTCATCTTTATTCAAATATTTTCTGATTTTTCTTGTGACTTTAAAGTATGGTTTATTTAGAAATGTGTTGTATATTTCTTAAATTTGGATGTCTTTCTAGATACCTTCCAGGGTTTTTTTAAAGTTTAATATCATATTGTTGAAGGACATACTTGTTACAATTTCAGTTCTTTATAAAGTCTTAAGAATGTGGTCTATGTACACATTCCATGTGAACTTGGAAAGAATGTGTATTCTGCTATTGTTGAGGGACGTACTCTGTAAATGTCAATTAAGTTGGTTCATAGTATTTTTCAGGTCTTCTATATAGGTTATAGGTTTTCTGTCTATTCTATAAGTTATTCAGAGAGGAGTGTTAAAAATGTTTAATTACACATGTGGCTTTATCTATTTGTTCTTTCAGTTCTATCCATTTTTGTCCTATGTCCTTTGAGCCTCTGTTGTTAGGTTTATACATTTCAGCATTTTTAATGCCTTCATGGTGAATTGATACCTTTATTAAAATGCAATGACAGTCTTGATCCCTGGTAATATTCTAGTACTTTGAAACATATATTATTGCCTCCCCCCCAAAAAACCCACCTCTTTATATACAAGATCATTGATCTATTTTTAAAACATATTTCTATCTCATCCCATATTAAACATAAGCTTTTGGGGTTTGACAAAATAGAAATTGGCCCATCCTTAATTTCAAAGAAAAATCATAATGGTTAACTTCTGTCAGGCACTCAGTTTAGAAAAAATAAGTTAAACATTAATGTGCTAGTTCAGTCAACTGTGCAATTCTGGCAAATCTTCCAGTTATATAATTCTTGGAATGGCACAAAGAGATGTTTTGGGTCATTGCACAGCAAAGATCATAGTGGATTTAAATCATATGATTGCCACTCACTAGTGGTGTGGTCAAGTCCTAAAACTGAGTTCCTCTTTGGTTACATGGGTATAACAGACTTGCCTTCCAGTGAGGTGATGTAAGCTAAATGAGATGTAAGACAAACAAGTGCCTGGTACAGAGTAGGTGCTCAGAGAATGTTTGTTCTCCTCCCTACTTCTTTCATAGGCAGTTGCCAGTACTTTTAGTTCCCTCTAAAAATGTTCTGTTACCTTTAAGGACTCTGGGAGGCTCTTCCTCAATGATTTCTCTAGCATCTGCAGCACTTGTGGGCCTTGTAAGTAGAACATCTTACCCTTAACCTAAAGAGAGGATCAAGAAATATCAAGGAATGAGAAGTGATGGAAAACATACAAAGACCCAAAACAGACACAGCAGGTAATTCTAGCTAATGGTCAGGCCTTCATTCTTGCTGTTTACTTGGTGCCCCATTCACTGAACTCCTCACTAAATCCTAGGAAGAATAAGACTGGCAGAAAGCACAGGTGCATACTTCCAAAACTATTTTCCTTTAACATTTTCTAACCTTTAAAAATCTGTATGAAATTTTTATTTTAACTTTTATATCATCCAGCATACCAATAATTAAGGATACACTAAGATTATCATATATAGTATCTAAACATGCATGAACATCTTTTTTTAAAAGATTTTATTTATTCATTTGACAGAAAGAGAGATCACAAGTAGGCAGAGAGGCAGGCAGAGAGAGAGGGGGAAGCAGGTTCCTTGCTGAGCAGAAAGACTGATGCGGGGCTTGATCCTAGGACCCTGAGATCATGACCTGAGCTGATGGCAGAGGCTCAACCCATGGAGCCACCCAGGCACCCCAACATGCATGAACATCTTAGAGATTAAGTTGCCCTCCTTGACAAACCTGAGTCTGCCAGCTAGAAGCTATAGGATGTTGGGCAAATTACTCAACTTCTCTGTGCCTTGGTTTTCTCGTGTATAAAATGCCAGTGACTACATGCCTGTCCCATAAAGTGGTTGTGCCAGTTAAATAAATCAATACATGTTAGGTGCTTTGACCAGTCCATTTGAGCAAATGCTTTTAGTCCTCTTGAGAAAACATGTAAAGGTACATTTGCATGATCATATAGTAAGCATATGTTTAACTTTAAAAAACTGACAGACTATTTTTCCAAAGTGGCTGAACTATTTTATATTCCCTTAGCAGTGTTTGAGTTACATTTGGTCCTCATTCTCTCCAGCACTTCTCCAGATGATTTTCTTATGCAGCCATATTCAGGAATCATTGATATAATAGGTAACAGATAAAATCCTTAACAATACCCATCACAGGTCAGATAAAGGAAGATAACTAGGCTCATCCCATCCTACAAACACAACTAGGTAAATATCAAATCATCCTAAATACCCCAGAAATCAACCAGAAGATGGGCAGAACAAACTCCACAACCAGAAAGAGAGAAGAGGCCACACCAAGGAAGGTAGAAGTGTGGAGATGTGGTTCGGGAAAAAATGGATCAAGGATGCTGTGTAAGGGAGGGAGCCATGGTCTCAGAGAAAGATGAGTGAGAGAGCAGGGGACGGGGGGGAACACATGGGAATGTACAAGGAGAATGTTTGTCCAAAGTCATTGGCTTGAAAAATGAGAGGGGTTGATTTTTGTGAACTCTTGCAACAAGTGGAGCTTACAACCTGGAGTTTTAAAGATCAGCAGGCCCAGCTGGCACCATTTTCCTACCCCATACTTGGCTTAAATACAGAACCACCTGTGGGAAGCAAGTCAGCACAGACACCAATCTGCTTACACCAAGGTCAACCTCCGTGCACTCTGGCAGGACTATCCTTCTTAGTCAAATTTGCCTTGGTCCAAGCATGACGGTCCCCTCCTCTAGAAGACCAGCACAAACCTCTGCCCATACCACATCTCCTGACTAGGGAGTCCTGCAGGATCTCAGTTCTGGTAGAGTAGGTATTAGGTCTCATTTCACAAACAGACCAGAACACACCTAGTTAAAATTCACCTTCAGGATGGGGACCAAACACTACCCTATGGATGCAAGGACCCTCTGTCGATGACTGGCATGAAGGATAGAGCAGCCAAAACAACAACAACAGAATAATGCGGCACATACCAGAGACATTCCCTGACGTATCGGACCCTGTACACTACATTACCTCTTCTTTATAACGCCATTACTTTCAGAAGCAAGAGACATAACTGGATTTTCTAATACAGAGAGAAAGGCAGAGACTTAGACAAAATGCCAAGATGGAGGAATTTATCCCAAATGAAAAACAAGATAAGGCCACAGCCAGAGATCTAAGCAAAGCAGACATAAGTTAACATGTCTGATGAAGAATTTAAGGCAACAACCATAAGGATACTTGCTGGACTTGAGAAAAAAATAGAAGACATCCTGATGGAAGACCCTTACTACAATCAGAGAAGAAGAATACAATAAACAAGACTGGAAACAGGCTTGATGCATTGAACAGTGGGCTGGAAGAAATAGAGAAATGAAATAGTGATCTAGAAGACAAAATAATGGAAAATAATGAAGTTGGACCACAGAGTGAAAGAATAATTATGGAACACAAAAATAGACTTAGGGAAATCAATGACTCCATCAAACATAATAACACTTGTATTATAGGAGTCCCAGGAGAAGAAGATAGAGGAAAAGGGGGCAGAAAATTTATTTCAAGAAATAATAGCAGAAAACTTCCCTAATCTGGGGAAGGAAACAGACACCCAGGTCCTGGAGGCACAGAGGACTCCCATCAAAATCAACAAAAGCAGGCTGACACCAAAACATAATTCAAGTAGCAAAATACAGTGATAAAGAAAAAAATCTTAAAAGCAGCAAGACAGAAGCCATCCTTAACTTACAAGAAAAACTCATAAGACTACCTGGAGATTTCTCAACAGAAACTTGGCAAGCCAGAAGACAGTGGCTGATATATTCGACATGCTGAATGGGAAAAATCTGCAGCCAAGAATAGTCTATCTAGTAAGGCTATCTTTCAGGATGAAAGAGAAATAAAGAGTATCCCAGACAAAAACTAAAGGAGTTCGTGACCACTAAACCAGCCCTGAAAGAAATATTAAAAGAGACTCTTTAAATGCAAAGGAGAGACCACAAGTAACAAAGACAAGAAAGGATCAGAGAAAATCTCCAGAAACAACAACAACAAGTAATAAAGTGGTAATAAATATATATGTATCAATAATTACTTTGAATGTAAATGAAGTAAATGCTCCAATCAAGAGACACACAGTGTCAGAATGGATAAAAATCAAGAGCCATCTATATGCTGCTTATGAGAGACTCATTTTAGACATAAGGACACCAGCAGACTGCAAATGAGAGGGTGCAGAATCATCTGTCATGCAAATGGATGTCAAAGGAAAGCCTGAGTAGCAATACTTAGACGAACGAGACTTTATGGATTTTATTTATTTATTTATTTATTTATTTATTTTTTGAGATAGAAAGAGAGAGAGTGGGGGGAGGGGCAGAGGAAGAGGAGTAGGAGAAGCAGACTCCCCATTAAGCAGGGAACCTGAACCTGGAGTCATGATCCCTGGGATCATGACCTGAGCCAAAGACAGATGCTTTTCTGACTGAACCACCCAGCTGCCCCCAAACTAGACTTTAAGACAAAGATTGTTAAACGAGGCAAAGGAGGGCATTATATAATTATAAAGGGGATAATCCAACAAGAAAATATAGCAGTTATAAATATTTATGCACTAAACATAGGAGCACCCAAAAATACAAAACAACAACAAACATAAAGGAACTAATTGATAATAACACAATAATAGTAGGGGACTTTAACACCCCACTTACATCAATAGACAAATCATCAAAAAGAGAAAATAAAAAGGGGAACCCTCTTACACTGTTGGTGGGAATGCAAGGTCGCGCAGCCACTTTGGAGAACAGTGTGGAGATTCCTCAAGAAATTAAAAATAGAGCTTCCCTATGACTCTGCCATTGCACTACTGGGTATTTACCCCAAAGACACAGATGTAGTGAAAAGAAGGGCCATCTGTACCCCAATGTTTATAGCAGCAATGGCCACGGTCGCCAAACTGTGGAAAGAACCAAGATGCCCTTCAACGGATGAATGGATAAGGAAGATGTGGTCCATATACACTATGGAATATTATGCCTCCATCAGAAAGGATGAATACCCAACTTTTGTAGCAACATGGACGGGACTGGAAGAGATTATGCTGAGTGAAATAAGTCAAGCAGAGAAAGTCAATTATCATATGGTTTCACTTATTTGTGGAGCATAACAAATAGCATGGAGGACAAGGGGAGTTAGAGAGGAGAAGGGAGTTGAGGGAAATTGGAAAGGGAGATGAACCATGAGAGACTATGGACTCTGAAAAACAATCTGAGTGTTTTGAAGGGGCGTGGGGTGGGAGGTGGGGGGAACCAGGTGGTGGGTATTGGAGAGGGCACGGATTGCATGGAGCACTGGGTGTGGTGCAAAAACAATGAATACTGTTATGCTGAAAATAAATTAAGAAAATTTTTTAAAAGAGAGAAAATAAACTAGGAAATAATGGCTTTGAATGATATATTGGACCTGATGGACTTAACATATATTCAGAACACTCCAACCTAAAACAGTAGAATACACATTCTTACCAAGTGCACATGGAACATTCTCCAGAATAAATCACATATTAGGTCACAAAACAGACCACAACAAATACAAAAAGATTGAAATCATACCGTGTACCTTTTCTGACCACACTTTGAAACTAGAAGTCAACCACAAGAAAAAAAAAGACCACAAATATATGAAGGCTAAACAACATGCTAGTAAACAATGAATGGATCAACCAGGAAATCAAAGAAGAAATTTTTAAAATACATGGGAGACATATAAATGAGAATACAGTAGTCCAAAACTTTGGGGATGTAGCAAAAGCAGTCCTAAGAGAGAAGAATATAGTAATACAGCCCTACCTCAAGAAGCAAGAAAAAAATCTCGAATAAACAAAATAACTTTACATCTAAGGAGCTAGAAAAAGAATAATAAATAAAGCCTAAAGCCAGCAGAAGGAAGGAAATAATAAAGATTGGGATAAAAATAAATGATATAGAAACTAAAAAACAATAGAGTAGATCAATGAAATAAGGAGTGGATTCTTTGAAAAAAATTGATAATTTCCTTCATAAATTAAACATATAAAGCATAAAATAAGCATAAAAAAGAAAAAAATTAATAAAATTGGTAAACCCCTGGCCAGACTGATACATGAATTCAGGAAAGTCACAGGATACAAAATCAATGTACAGAAATCTGTTGCATTTCTATACACCAATAATGAAGTAGTAGGAAGAGAAATTAAGGATTCAGTCCCACTTACAATTGCACCAAAAACAATAAGATACCTAGGAATAAACCTAACTGAAGAGGTGAAAGACCTGTACTCTGAAAACTATAAAACACTGATGAAAGAAGTTGAATGGCACCAGGGTGGCTCAGTCAGTTAAGCATCTGCCTTTGGCTCAGGTCATGATCCCAGAGTCCTGGAATCCAGCCCCAGTTCGAGCTCCCTGCTCAACATGGAGTCTGCTCCTCCCTCTCCCTCTGCCCCTCCCCCTGCTTGTGCTCCCTCTTTCAAATAAATGAATAAAATCTTTTAAAAAAAAAAAAGAAATTGAAGGAGACACACACACAAAAAAGGAAAAACATTCCCTGCTCATGGACTAAAAGAACAAATATTGTTAAAATGTTTTTACTAGCCAAGGTAATCTATACATTTAATGCAATCCCTATCAAAATACCAACAATATTTTTCACAGAGCTAGAACAAACAATTCTGAAATTTGTATGGAACCACAAAAAGACCTAGCCAAAGCAACCTTGAAAAAGAAAAGCAAAGCTGGAGACATCACAATTCTCTATTTCAAGTTACATTACAAACTTTAATGATCAAGACAGTATGGTACTGGCACAAAGACAGTATGGTATTGTCACATAGCTCAATAGAAGACAATAGAAAACCAAGAAAGGAATCCACAACTCTATGGTCAGTTAATCTTTACCAAAACAGCAAAGAATATCTAGTGGGAAAAAGACAGTCTTTTAAAAAAACAGTGTTGGGAAAATTGGACAGCAACATGCAAAAGAATGAAACTGGATCACTGTACACCATACACAAAAATAAATTCAAAATGAATTAAAGACCTAAATGTGAGACTAGAAACCAAAAAATCTAGAGAAGAAGATAGGCAATAGCTTGACATCACCCATAGAAACTTCTTTCTAGATATGTCCCTGGGGGCAAGGGAAACAAAAGAAAAATGAACTATTGGGATCTCATCAAAATAAAAGTCTTCTGCACAACAAAGGAAACAGTCAACAAAACTAAAAGGCAATCTGTGGAATGGGAGAAGATAATTGCAAATGGTATATCTGATAAAAGGTTAGTTTATTAACCATATACCAAAGAACTCATAAAACTCAACACCCAAAACATGAATAATCCTATTAAAAATGGGCAGAAGACATGAATAGACAATTTTCTGAAGAAGATATACAGGTGGCCAACAGGTACATGAAAAGATGCTCAATAGCACTGATTATCAGGGAAATGCAAATCAAACCTACTATGAGATGTCACACTTGTCAGAATGACTAAACTCAACAACACAAGAAACAACAGGTGCTGGTAAGGATGTGAAGAAAGGGGAACTCTCTTGTATTGTTGGTGGGAATTCAAACTGGTGCAGCCACTCTGGAAAATGGTATGGAGTTTCCTCCAGAAGTTAAAAATAGAATTACCCTATGATCCAACAATTGAATTATCAGGTATTTACCCAAAGAAGAAAAAAAAATACTAATTCAAAGGATACATGTACCTCTTGATGTTTATAGGAGCATTATCTACAATAGCCAAATTTTGGAAAGAGCCCAAATGTCCATTGACTGATGAGTGGATAAAGAAGATGTGAACACACACACACACACACACACACACACACACACACACACACTGGACTAATACTCAGCCATCAAAAAGAATGACATCTTGCCATTTGCAATGACATGGATGGAGCTAGAGAGTGTTATGCTAAGGGAAATCAGCCAATCAGAGAAAGAAAAATACCATATGATTTCACTCATATATGAAATTTAAGAAACAAAACAAATAAGCAAAGGGAAAAAAGAGAGAGGGAGAAGCCAAGAAACAGAGTCTTAACTATGGAAAACACACTGAGAGTTACCAGAGGGAAGGTGGGTGGGAGGATGGGTGAAATAGGTGTGATGGGGTTTAAGGAAGGCACTTGCTGTAATGAGCACCAGGTGTCATATGCCAGTGTTGAATCACTGTATTGTCCACCTGAAACTATTATTACACTGTATGTTAACTAATTAGAATTTTAATAAAAACTTTAAAAACCACAGTACCTTCAAAGCAGTAAAGCAAGATTTGTAGAGCTAATTCCGAAGGCAGGCCAAAAGACTGAGGTCAAATTGTATTTCAATAAATGCAATTCTCCAAGGGACTTACAATGTGGAGTTTTACCCAAGCCCATGTTATCCTAGAAAATAGCAACAGTTAAAGAAATCCCTCCATCTACTTTGTGTTCCTGGAAGGGCTTACCCCAAGGAATCTTACTTCCTCCCACCTGCCTTAGTGAGACTCACTGATGCGTCGCTTGCTTACCTATGACAAGGCCAGACACCAATCCTCCAAATTCTCGATCTCTGCCTTATAAATGATTAGCTGAGCTGTGAGCCACACACTGATAGATCAAAACAAACTGCTTGTTAATCAATGTTGGTTAAATGTCTCTTCTTCCTCTAGACTGAATCAACATACAACCCCTTCTTAATAGCCCCTACCAAGAATAGGCTAAACTTGGATAAAACATTCTCTGAGCTATATTGGTCCTGCCCCTTCTACTTCCCACTTCCCCACATGGGATTTTCCAGCCCTGTTTACTCTTCATAAATGATTAGGTTGACTGTTTATCCTCACTGATCCATCCAAAGTTTGTATAAACTTTAATTAAGTTTCTGCCCCCTACACAGGACTCTGGACTTTGTGCCACCCTCAGCCTGAGCCCTCACTCGCATGCAGAAAAACACTCCATGAGCTTTGCTTACTCCTCTCTATTAAAGAATAGCTCTTCTCTGACTGACCTTTAGTTGTTTTTAGATCCTATGGCCTGATGAAATTGATCTATTTATCCATTCACTCATTTAATCACTCAATAAATCTTGATTGAGAGCTCACGGTAGTGGCTTTGTAAGGCATCACCCCAGCTAGACTGAACTGTCTTTCCTGGAATTCCCTTCCTTGCATGGTTCTAGCTAGAGTGGGCCACATGAGAGGTTCCTAAGAGATATTTGGAGGACAGAGTCACAGCAGCAGGCATTTAGTTGCTAACTCCATGACATGAGGCCTTGCTGGGCTGGCAAAGTGCTTCAACGTCCCCTAGGTTTGGCTTCAGCTTCTCTGCCATAGGAACCAGGGTGTTTAACCCCCTAATGAAGAAACCTGTCCTCTACAGGACATACAATCTACCAAGGTCAGAGTCAGCAAGAACTGACAAGATTTCCATCCCTATGAGCTTCAGTTTTAACATGGTGGGAAGTCCTTGTATAAACTAATGTTTTGATTTTTTTTCTTTTTTTAACTTTTTAAAAAATTTATTTTAAGAGAGAGAGAGAGACAGAGTGAGAGAGAGCATGAGAGGGGAGGTCAGAGGGAGAAGCAGACTCCTCATGGAGCTGGGAGCCCAATGTAGGACTCGATCCCAGGACTCTGGGACCATCACCTGAGCCGAAGGCAGTTGCTTAACCAACTGAGCCACCCAGGCTCCCTGTTTTGATTTTTTCATATGTGCTCCCTTTTCCCCAGGTTCTTGTCAGTTATTTGGTTCTTGCCAGTGAAGCAGTCCCTGCACTTAACCTTGAATTCCTTTCATGATTTAAGGGGAGAATCTTGACCAGAACCACTAAGGCAATGGTTGTATTATTTTTCTTCTTTATTTCCCCCATGGTTGGGAGAAATGGTTGGCACAATAATGTTAGTTAACACCTCCATCCCATCACATAATTATCTCTTTTTTTGTTATGAGAACATTTAAGATCTACTCTCTTAGCAACTTTCAAGTATCATATTATTAATTATCATCACCATGCTGTACATTAGATCCCCCAGAATTTATTTATCTTATAATGGGAAGTTTGTACCATTTGACCAACATTTCCCCATTACCTCAAACTCCCAGTCCCTGGCAACCACTATTCTACTCTCTGTTCCTTTCAGTTTGGCTTATTTAGATTCTCTACAAAAGTGAGATCATACAGTATTTGTCTTTCTCTGGCCTATTTAACTTGGTGTGATGTCCTCAGGGTCCATTCATGTTGTCACAAATGGCAAGATTTCCTTCTTTGTTATGACTAGATAATATTCTACTGTGTATGTATACCACAACTTCTGTATCCATTCATCCATTTGTGGACACTTAGGCTGTTTCCATGTCTTAGTTACTGTCTATAATGCTGCAGTAAACATGTTGATACAGATATCTCTCTCTCTTTTTTTAAGATTCTATTTATTTGTCAGAGAGAGAGAGTGAGCACAAGCAGGGGGAGGGAGTGGCAGGCAAAGGGAGAAGCAGGCTCTGTGCTGAGCAAGGAGCCCCATGTGGGACTCAGTCCTAGAACTCTGGGATCATGACCTGAGTGGAAGGCAGATGCTTAACTGACTGAACTATGAAGGCATCACCAGATATCTCTTTGAGATTGTGATTTCCATATATATATATGAAAAAATAAATATATATCTCCAAATGCCAAGCAAGCACGCGGCCCAAATCCCTAGACAATGCGTGCTAATTCTCCCAAACTTTCTACCCAAACTGATATCGATTTGGGTAGAAAGCTCGTGAGAAGTGGCTGGAAACCTCTGGCGAACTCGGCGAACCTTTATATCTATATAGATATATAGATATAACATATATGCATCTATATATATATCTATATATATAGGTAGATATGAAGGTAATGAAACATAACCTATATATGAAATATAACATATATATACACACACATACACACACACACACCCAGAAGTGGGTTTGCTAGATCATAAGATAGTTCTAGTTTTAATTTTTTGAGGAACCCACATACTGTTTCCACAGTATTTTACACCATCCGACACAAAGTAAGGACTCAATAAATTATGAAGTATTTATACCAGCATAACCATCTATTTAGCCACTCCACTTACCAAGGACAAAGACTCATTCATTCCACAAGTACCTCTAGAAAGCCTACTGCGTGCTGGGTATGGGGACTTGAAAAAGACCTCAGACCAGAATAGAGGCAGCTGTGCCATATCTTGGATGGTATCAAGACAGTAGAAGTACAGTATTTCTGAAGATTAATCTGACATTAGCTAGGAGCATCTCACAAAAAAAGTCACATGACAATAAGAAGCCAAGTTGAATTTGATGTCAGATTACCAGGGACATAACATTGATGTATTGCCAAGTACATTTGGGATTACCCTCAACATGTGCACACACACACACACACACACACACACACACACACAAACAAAAACATGATGTTCAATAAATACATTTGGCTGAGACAGGAGATTCAAGGGAGTTGGCACATTTTGGTATTTGCCTGCATTGATAATGGACAAAGCCCTATACAGGACACTTTGAAAGCTTTGATGAAACATTTTAATATTTGGAATTTATCCAAAGAAAACAATTCAAATGAAAAATGCTCTATGAACAATTTTGTAAAGCAATACTAACTCACGGAGAAGTACTAGACACAGTCTCAGACAGTTTACATAAATATTGAACAATTATTATTTTACAAATCTAAGACCCATTAACATGAAAGATATGATATATATGCTGGTATATGGAGTCTTAAGATGAACACAAAGAAGATGGAAAATGACAATACATAAATTCTAATCAGATATGTAAAGTCTTTTTGTATGCATATTTATATAAATCACATAAGTATGACAGCAGCAATGTCCACAATAGCCAAACTATGGAAAGAGCCCAGATGAATAAATAAATATTTATTCACAGATGAATAAATAAAGAAGATGAGGTATATTATATACAACACACACAATGGAATATTAGCCATTAAAAAGAATAAAATCTTACCATTTGTAACAATATGGATGGAACTAGATGGTATTATGCTAAGCGAAATAAGTCAATCAGAGAAAGATCATTAGATGATTTAATTCCTATGTGGAATTTAAAAAAGAAAGCAGAGGATCATAAGGGAAGGGAGGGAAAAATAAAACAAGACAAGATCAGAGAGGAAGACAACCATAAGGGACTCTTAACTGTAGGAAACAAACTGAGGATTGCTGGAGGGGAGGTTGGTGGGGGAATGGGATAACTGAATAATGGGCATTAAGGAGGGCACATGATGTAATGAGCACTGGGTGTTTTTTGCAACTGATGATCACTAAACTACTAAACTCTACCTCTGAAACTAATAATACACTATATGTTAATTAATTTAATCTAAATAAAATTTTTAAAAATATGAAAATATAAAAGGAAACACCAAATAATATCATAGGAGTGTTACAGTTAAGACTTTTTTAAATTAAAATTTTATGGCTTTAAATTTACACTTAACTTCATCTGTTCTGTGGTCCTCTTACTAGAATCTACCTCATCATTTTGCAACTTCAGGCAGGACACTTAATTTCCCTGGTCATCATTTATCCAAGGGAAAAAATCTGACTACCTTAGAATGTTACTAGAGGATGGAATAAGATAATGTTTACATAGTATGTCTGTAAATTGTGTTTTCTGTCACCCAAACCAGCATATTCCTTCTAGAGGCTGTTTGAGTGTCTTTCCTCTACCATCAGCTGACTCCCAAATCTCCTTGCATTTCTTTATCAGTTCAGAACAAGAGCCTGGCTTTGTCCTGTCAAGAATTTCTCACAGAAAAGGGTATATTGCCCTATACACAGTGGGTGCCTGAGAGAGGTTTCTGAAATGGAAGACCTTTTTAGCCCAGCATAATTCTCAACCCAAACGAGTTCAGAAATTCTTACCCACATCCAACAGTAGCATTTTGATTCATTCTCTTACAGTGGGGAAAGCAAAAGGAGATGAGGGGTCCCAGAGCAATGATTCTCCCTTGTTCTCAAACCTGGAAAGCTGTCAATCTTCTTCAGTATCTGCAGAGATCCCCAAGTAAAGACAAAAGGCTGCCGGTCCTTCTAGAAGATGAAAGGCACCATCAGCACAAACTTTTGGCAGCAGGGTATGAAAGTCAGTACCTCCCTCAGGATCCCATGTTCAGAGGGGCTCCAAAATATTGACATGTTGGCAGCTTGCCCTCTGAGGCTCTTTTCCCAGAAGGCTCAGGTGTTCTCTGGTCTTACAGTTCCTTCCATTACTCAGTACCTCTGTCTGGACTGTGAAATCAGCTGGCTAAGCACAGGAAGGTAGATGGACCTCTATAAAAAATACCTCTTTTCCTTCCTTCCCCTTTCACCAGCACCAACAAGAAGAGAAAGCTATTGTTAAGATTTGACTTTTAGAATCAGAGTTTTTAACTGTCAGTAAAGAAATTACTTCTTGGGGGGGCCCTGGGTGGTGCAGTTGGTTAAGCATCCAACTCTTGGTTGGAGGTCATGATCTCAGGGCCCCACTTTGGGTTCCACACTCAGTGCAGAATCTGCTTGAATTTCTCTCTCCCTTTTCCTCTGCCTCTGCCTCTTGCAAATAAATAAATCTTAAAAAAAAAAAAGCTAATAAAAAAACCAAACTTAAAAAAAAAATTTCACTGATGACCACATAATTTAATTCAGTAGAGTATCTCAAAACTCTTGAGAGGATTTTGATCCTCTCAATCAAAGGCTGTGGGGCTTTGAGAGGTTCTTTGGAAAATTTTGTCAGAGGAAGGGGAAGATACCAAAGAAGACACTTTTCAAATCAGTCTTTTTATTTTCAAGCACAGAAGCATGGAAAAACAGGATTCTCTCATGAAAGAGGACTTCAAAGAGGAAAATGTTGCTTTGAAAGGTTTATCTTGGCGCTAATGATTGACATTGGTTGATTTTAATTCTGAGAGGTCTGTCAACATAAAGGCAAAATATAACACCAAAAGTTCAAGTTTCCATTTTTCTCTATTATGGAGGAAGACAAAAATATTATACAAGAGTGGGTTAAGTAATGCATGGAGCCCAAATAATTGGATTTTTTTTCTGCTAATATAAATTATAATGTTTGTTTTTGAACTGGTATTTTTTTCACTGGTAAGAAAGGCTTGTAATGGACAGTGGCACTGATCAATAATATTTTCTAGGAGTGCATCTCCCACTGATGCCAGCCACAAGGAGCAGCCTTAAGCCCTACACTTCTCAGTGCCTGAAAGTTTTCTTCATCTCTTGACACATGGAAATAAAATGGCATTTTTTTCTGAAAAAAATACTTTATGAAGTGAAAACAGATTTTCTTCATGTAGCCTTTGTCTCGGTATTTGGGGACAGTGTAACCCATTCTCATCTCACAAGACTGTTCCATCATAATCCAAGAGATAGGGTCCCCCTCTGGACTCAGCACACCAAATCCTGGAAAATTCTGGAGGCAGCATTCAATATATTTCAAGCTCCTTTCATTTTTTCCAAAGTTCCACTGCTCATTCACAAGCCCCACATGGGAAGCATCCAAGAAGATGTTCTGAAATCTTCCTTTCCTGTCAACAAAAGAATGTGCATTTATTCAGCCAACATTTACAAAACACCAGGATTGCAGAGAATAAGACATCAACCCTTTCCTTGAAGATCCCACAGCCTAGAAGAAGAAACAGAAGGGCAAAAAAACTACTAATTCTTTGTCTGCTTCAAAAATATTCCCAAATAATTAAGAGGGAGCTAACTGTATGTGCTTTATGATACACATAGTATAATACATCTCAAAAAAGTCTAATCGTATATCCGAAGAAAGAAGAAAATAAGATATGTCTTAAAAGAGGAAGGATATAGATAGACCAGAGTTGTTTTTGTTTTTGATTTTGTTTGCCTGAATTTTGTTTGAGGATGCATATGTGGAACACACAAATTTTGAATTCTACCCACAAAATATCTAAGTGCATAAGATACTATTCCTTTCAACAGATATTTCAATAAAATATGTATCACAGGAAGGTGAGAGACATGTTGATCTTATGATTTCATGTGTCCGAAAGCCCATCCATCACCACATGCCTCTAGAGAAGTGCCAAAAATGCAATGTAAGAAACACCAATATAGGAAAAAGAATACTGGAATTTCCAATGGTAATGGTTACAATTTAATCCTAATTCTCTCACTGGACAAATTATCTGAGGCTGAGTCTTTTCATCTGCAGAATCAGAACCACATCCTCTGTGGGTGGAGGAGGTTGGGACAGGTGGAAGAGCCCTAAGAAGTTTCACCTATCCCCAGGGAGAGGAGTTTTCCAGAATTGGTCAGTTTCAAGGTCATTCAGATATTAATGGAGAATTCTTTATTTTTTCTTTGATCCCTTATTATCCAGTTATAACATTCTCTAAAGACTGCCAGTGATGCACTTAGTTATGTAACCTTCCAGTAGCGCTCTGTAATTTTAGATGTTTACATGTTATGATAGCACACTATATATGTTACTCAATTTTATTTGTTGTTGCTTTTCACCTAGCCATACATTTTGAAATTCTTCCCATATAGTTCATATAGAGCTGCTTCCTTCTTGTTAATGGCTGCTTATTATTCCAATGTGTGGATTATACCATAACAAATCGACCTGTGTTGCTACTGAAGGACACATTTGTCATTTCATATGTTATGCTCTCACATATTGAATTCATCTAAATCTTAAGATCCAATTTGGGAATATCTTCCATAATATACATATTCTTTTACCTAACTATTTCAATTCCAGGACTCATCTTTCAGAAATAGTTATACAATTTGGGCAATGATCTGTTTATGAAGATATTTCTTGCAGAATTTTTGTTACTAGGAAGAATTGGAGATAAATTGAAACTGTGCTAAAATGGGAATACATAACTGTGCTTCTCCCACTTATAGAAATCTATGCAACTGCCAAAATGAATGAAACATATCTCTATGAGCATACATGAAAGGTTTACATAGCATACTGCTGAGGGGAAAAAAAACTGCAGTACAGTATATGCATATGTTGTTAAAAAAAAAAACCAAGAAAACAAAACCAATTCATACATGCAGAGTACTAAAAGCACACACACCAATTTTTAAGAATATTTACACCTACACCACCATCAAAAAGAATGAAATCTTGCCATTTGCAAGGTTGTGGATGGAACTAGAGAGTATAATGCTAAGCAAAAGAAGTCAGAGAAAGATAATTATCATATGATTTCACTCATATGTGGAATTTAAAAAAGAAAACAGACGAACATAGGGAAAGGGAAGGAAAAATAAAATGAGATTAAAACAGAGAGGGAGGCAAACTATGAGACTCTTTTAACTATAAGGGCAAACTGAGGGTTGCGGGAGGGGAGGCGGGGTGGTTGGATAGGGCAATTGGGCGGTGGGCGTTAAGAAGGGCACTTGATGTAATGAGCACTGGGTGTTATATGCAATGGATGAATCCCAAAATCTACCCCGAAACTAAAAAAATACACTGTATGTTAACTAACTTTAATGTAAATTTAAAAATTTTTAAAAAGAATATTTATACCTGGACAGGAAGATTGTGGGGAATCCAAGTGAGCAAACCTTCACTTTTTACTTTGAATACTAGTATAGTTTGTAGAGCATGTAATATTATTGCAAGAAATATACATAATTTCAGTAAAGACTCTCTAATGTCACCATGATGTCCAGGACCCTCCCAGGGGGACTTGTATGAGAACTAAGTGAGTTATACATGGAAAGGACCTCATCTAATGAAGACCCTGCCCCTGCTCAGCAAACTTCTGCTAATAGAGTTCCCTTCCGTTACCCCTACAAGTGTGTAATGCATAGTTTATTGTCAAACTGTGCATTTCTGAGTGTGGTCCTTATGACAACTGAATGATTTGTTATTAGGAATTTGGGAAGCAACACAAAAAATCTCACTTGCTATCTTCATCCACTTTGGGCATGCTAAATGACTCCACCAAAGCCATCTGGTCATCCCTTGATGTCTTGGGTTCCGCTGGTATTTCTGTCATAATGAGTGTGGTCTTCAAGTGATCTACCTGCGCTGATTTTGCAGCTGAAATCTTTCTTATTGCCTCCCCCACATTCACTTGGCAACCTGGAGAGAGGAGAAAAACGGGCAGTGCCTATCCCCTTCCACATCTAATGTGAAAGAACAAAGGGTCTTTGCCTTTTAACTTGGATCAGTTACCTTGGATCTGGAAAGTTTGTTCCCAACTGATAACCTGGGAGCATGCCAGGACTTCCGCTAACTTGTCAGGAGCTTTGGTGAAGATGTGGTAAGTGTTGATATAACGATCCAGGTCATCTTTCATCTCCTGATACAACAAATATTAATCATATGACAGTATGATTTACAAATTGTTCTTGCATATGTCTGGAGTGCGAGAGGCTCAGTTGTTTAATACTCTCTGTTTGGGGGGTGCCTGGGTGGCTCAGTTGGTTAAGTGTGGCTCAGTCGGTTAAGTGTCTGCCTTCGGCTCAGGTCACAGTCCTGGGGTCCTGGGATTGAGTTCCACATCAGTCTCCTTGCTCAGAGGGGACCCTGCTTCTCCCTTTGCCTGCTTCTCCTCCTGTGTGTGCTCTCTCTCTGACAAATAAATAAATAAACAAATATTTTTTGAAAAAATATCCTGTGTTTTCCCCAGAGGTGCAGACAGAAAATGGCCTTGGAGTCCCTTGAACAATAATCACTAGGGACAGACCGAAGGTGGTGTCTTGAGGCAGCTCTTGGTAAGGTGGGAAGCAGCTCCATTGTCTGAGATGGAAGTTGCCCCAGAAATAGGGCGTGTTAAGGGTTTTTTGTTTTTTTTTTTTAAATTTCTTTTCAGGGTAACAGTATTCATTGTTTTTGCACCACACCCAGTGCTCCATGCAATCCGTGCCCTCTTTAATACCCACCACCTGGTTCCCCCAACCTCCCCCCGCCCTGCACCTCACCCCTTCAAAACCCTCAGATTGTTTTTCGTGTTAAGGGTTTTAAAGAGAGAGTGTCTACCTTGTGGAGAGTAGGGAATAGAGTGGGTATCAGGACTTGAGGTCTTTGAAGAGACCATGCCCAGGCTAATTCGAACTCAGCACTCTGGTGCCGGCATGGTGAGAGGATCTTGATGTGCATGTGAATAGAGAGGACTTTCAGGAAGAACAGTCACGCTGGAGGGAAGGGCCTGTCTCCCAGGCCCCTCATTCCTGCTTACCTTCTGCAGCTTACACTCCCTTAGAGGTTGTTACAGGTGAGTTGTGCTCTAATTTTCCTGATAACTATATAAATGGAGAAGTGTGGGAAGAGGGGTTAAAATATCCCTACTCTGGGGTGGAAGAGATTTGCTACTTATACCCCCCAAATCTGTAAGATGGGAAAGATATTTTCTTTAAATACACAGTTGCCTCTTTTTTCTTTTCTTCTTCTTCTTCTTTTTTTTTTTTTTAGATTTTATTTGTTTATCTGAGAGAGAGAGAAAGAGAGATTATGTGCGTGCATGTGCACAGGAGGGGTAGAGTGAGAAGCAGACTCCCCACTGAGGGGGGGATTCCCCACATGGGACTCTACCCCAGACCCTGAAATCATGACCTGAGCTGAAGGCAGACACCCAACAACTGAGCCACCCAGGCACCCCACACAGTTGGCTCTTGAACAACACTAGTTTGAATGGTGCAGGTCCACTTTCAAGCAAATTTTAAAAAATAAATATAATATAATGCTGTAAATGTATTTTCCCTTAGGATTTCAATAACATTTTATTTTGTTTATTGTAAGAATAATATTGTAAGATTGTAAGAATCTGGTATACAATACCAGAGCATATAAAATATGTGTTAATAGACTGTTTATGTTATTGGGAAGGCTCTGGTCAACAGTAGGCTACTAGTTGTTGAGTTTTTGAAGACTCAGGAGTTCTATACAGATTTTTGACTGTGCGGGAGTTGGTATCCCTAACATCTGTGTTGTTCAAGGGTCAACTGTACATGACTTATATCATGTTTAACAGTGCTCTGACACAGTAATTTTTATCAACTTTGCTTTTATAGCTAAGAAAGCCACAGTCTTCTAACATCACACAACTAGTCACTTGGCAGATTTAGATCTGAAACCCAACATTGATTCAGATATTATTGTATTATAGTGCTTTAGTCCCAGGGAAAGCAAAACACTTCCTAATTCCCTCCAGCCACAAACATCTATCTTGAGGTATATGCCTGTTACAAGAATCTCAATGGAAAAAAAATTGACCAGATGGGATCCCGATGTTATTTACAAGCCCTGGATTATTGGCTATTTGGTTTATACCCATGACTTATTTCACTATCCTTCCCTTCTCTCCAAGCAGCCCTTCCAAAATCTATATGGGTCAGGGGTGCCAAGGTTCTTCTCCGCAGCCCCCAGATTCAGTTCCCTCATTTCCACATGGAGACCATCCTGATTGTGACTGGCTTGGTATTCAGTAGCTGGTACTCTTACCTCTTTCCAGTGCAGAGTAATTACTGTCTGATAATCTGGCCAGGCATCCACCAGCATCTCCATGTTGAATGGGGTTTTATTTTTAGTGTTGAAAATGGCACCATATGCCTAAAAAAGCAACAGATGAACAGGTGAAAATGACATTTTCCTTTGAGATAGGGTCTTAGAAGTAGTTTGGGAAATAAACCAAGAGTTAGGAGCACTTAAGGGGATCAAGCTAGCGATTTCAGGATGGTTCCCCAGACTACCCATTGGAGGGTATGCTGGGGGAAAAAAAAAACAGGAAGGGTCCACACAATCTAAGGAAATAGCTGATTCAAGAGGAACTGTCTCCCCTGACATTCATTCATTCATTTTTTCGAAAATGCATTCCTTTTTTTTTTCCACTTCATACTATACCATTTTTGGGGCACATATTGTGTGTCAGATTTGTGTCAAGTGTGGAGAATTCCAAGATAAGTATGACATGGCCACTGCATTCAAGTAGGATGGAACAGGATGGAGCACCTGGGTGGCTCAGTGGGTTAAGCTTCTGCCTTTAGCTCAGGTCATGATCCCAGGGTCCTGAGATTTCTGCTTGCCAGGGAGCCTGCTTCCCCATCTCTCTCTCTGCCTGCCTCTCTGCCTACTTGTGATCTCTGTCTGTCAAATAAATAAATAAAAATCTTTTTAAAAAAAGAAAAGTCTAGCAGGATGGAGAGGTACACAGTCTGATCTTAATAGGACACATGTTCTGATAGATGCATGCACATGGCTGTGTGGGGTCTCAAGGAAGAAAAGCATTACCTGTCAGTGAGTGTTGGGAGACTTACAGAAGAAGTAATATTTGAATCTGGTCTTCAGGGACAAGTTAAGTCTTTTCCTGGCAAAATAAAGAAGGAAGGCAAGTAATTTCTGGTGAGAGAAAAAGCATGCTTGAGTACCTGAAGGTGTAGCAGATTGTATCATACCTGCTGAGCTCTGAGAGGCTTAGTGATTGTACTTTGTGGTATGTAGCAGGGATGTGTTGCAAGATGAAGTGGAGAGGCTGGGACATTTTGTGATCAACCTCACAATTAAGGGGTGTGGACTTTATGCCTTGAACTGGAAGTTTAAAACAAGGGAGAGGTATGATCATATTTGTGTCAGATAGATGACTCTGATCACCATCTGTAGGTGAGTTAGTAATACTGCAGAAAAGCAGGTATTGCAATAGCCCGGAGCAGATAAGGAAATCTACTAGAGATAGCAGTAAAATGGATTTCAACAAGTTTTAAGAGGCCAAAGGAGGAGGAGGAGGAGGCAGAGGCCAAGGACGAGGAGGAAGAAGGAGGAGGAGGAGGAGAAGGGGGGAGGAAGAAGAAGAAGAAGAGAGGAGGGAGACAAGGAAGAAGAAGAGGAAGGGGAGAAGGGGATGAGGAAGAGGAAGAAGGAGAAAAGAAGGTGCCTGATACGGGTATTAAGACCATCCCTGCAGAAGGAATCTGACTTTAGATTTGTATTTTAATCTGCCCTGGGCAGGTTCTGAACCCTGAATCTATACTCCCACACTTTACTCCTCTCTCCCAGGTTTCTCCCAACTCTCTCACCTTCAAGGACTCAGGGATGCTCTTTTCCAGGGATTCATACAGAATCTGCAGCTTTTGGGGTTCATGAAGCACAAACATCTTGTATAGCACTTCAGCCCTCTTCTCTCAGGAAGATGACCTAAGGAAAAAAATCATGCGAACAGAAATATCTTGAAGGATAAGACAGGTGTCCAGGAAAAGGAGGAAGGAGGAATCACCTAGGACATCATATACTGCCAGAAATAAAGGGCTTTAGAAATTATCAAGCCGAAAGCTTTCATTCTGTAAATGAGATACTAAAGCTCAGAGTTGCAGCTCGACCTTGGGGCTCCTGGGTGATCTTCCTACAATTCCACAGAAAGTACCATAACACAACTTGTGAAATGAACCTCTTCATGCCCATTTGATTCAAATTAGGCCAAGACTCTAAGAAGCAAATGTCACTAGCTGTCCAGCTGCAAGTGAAGAACAATGAATCTTTCAGAAAAACTGCCCCAGGGGACCCTGAAGTCCTTGGGCATTGAAATACTTGCTCCAATGTTGCGGTAAGATTAGTATTTTAAGGCATCATGAAAGAATGCGATATTTTGGAAAAGATTCTAAAGACCATATTACATGTAGTTGCTTTTTTCTGAGGAACAAAATCATAGGAAGGAAAAATTATTGATCAGGGATGATATTACCCAAGTATAAGTTGGCTAAATATAGAAACTGAAATTATATCCTAGAAAACTTAAAAATAGAGCAAACCTTTTCATTCAATAATTTCACTTTTAGAAACTCAACCCAAGGAAGCAACAATAGATATCTATAGAGATGTAAATACAAAGAAATTCATTGCAGTATTATGATACAGTAAATTCAGAAACTATCTAAAACTAGGAAATGAGTCTGGCTCGGTCAGAAGAGCATGTGACTCTTGATCTCCAGGTTCAGAGTTCGAGTCCCACATTGGGTGGAGAGGTTACTTAAATGAATAAAACTTTAAAAAAATAGAAATGATCCTAAGTCCATTATAGAGGAATGCTTAAATTAATGATGGCATATCCAAATTATGGATTACCAGGCAACCGTGAAAATGATGTCTTCAAAGTGTATTTAAAGACAGAGAAAAATGACCATGTTATAAACAAAGGAAAATATCTGATATAATCCCAAATGAGTAATATAAAGATGGACAAGTAAATGGTTACCTATTTGTATGTATGTATGTATGTGCATATCCACCAAATTCATTCTAAAACAAAGTAGTAATTAAACAAGATACACATATGAACTTTTTTCCAGTCTTATTCACAAAAATATCTGACTATAGGGGTGCCTGGGTGGCTCAGTGGGTAAAGCTTCTGCCTTTAGCTCAGGTCATGATCTTAGGATCCTGGGATCGAGTCCCGCATTGGGCTCTCTGCTCGGTGGGGAGCCTGCTTCCCCTCTCTCTCTGCCTACTTGTGATCTCTCTTTCTCTCTGTCAAATAAATAAATAAAAATCTTAAAAAAAGAATATCTGACTATAAATATAATTATGTAATATATATTTATATTACATATACCTGTTCAAGGTATATATGATACATAAAGACACTGATAAGATGAACCATGTTTTCTAAAAACCAACAAATACAAAAAATTCAAAGCAATTTTGAAGGCTTAGAGTGGAGCCATCAATTTAATCATTTTCAAGATTTATTTATTTATTATTTATTTATTTGAAAGAGAGAGAGAGTGCAAGTGGGGTAGGGAGAGGAATAAGCAGACTCAGTGCTGAGGGCAAAGTCCCATGCAGGGGCTGGATGTCATGACCCTGAGATCATGACCTGAACTGAAATCTAGAGTCAGACACTAACCAACTGAGCCTTCCAGGCACCCCACTGTTAATTTATTTCTAATCATAACAATCCTGGAAAATTTAACACCTATTGTATATGTGTGGTATATGTAGCCATAATAAAAACAAAAGGAAGAATAGTGGTTAAGAACATGATATTTGGAGTCAAACAGATCAGGACTCAATCCTGGGCTCCTCAATTTGATAGCTGGGTCATTTTAGGTAATTATATAGGTAAGTATATTTATATAGGTAAGTATATTTATGCTAACTATGGACTACTTGAAACTCTCTGAGATTTACTTTCTTCATCCATAAAATGGAGATAATAATACCTACTTTCTGCATTGTCCTCGGGGTGACATCATGAACTGTGTATGTATATGAACTACTTAGTGTTCTGTTAGATGGTGTACACATGTGATTCTGAAGGAGATTTTAAAGACCTGCAAGTCAAATCAAGAGGACAATTCTAGAAGACAGCAACATTACCAAAGAAAACTATAGCTTCACATATGGCACTTTATATAACTTGCCCACATAAATCTGTTAACATAAAAGAGTCATCTTGAGGTAAACCACAGCTCGAGTAGAAGCCAGTATGTTTGTGGCACTGTGTAGGACCATGGATATACAAACCAAATGGCAGATTATTCTGCTCATTCTTCAGGGCTCTTGTAGCATATTTCCCCAGAAGAGTGTAATCTCCTTAAAAAGTAGACCATGTCTTACTCTAGTTTGAGTTCAAGCATCAAGCACAGCCCTTGGCATGGTGTAGCCATCAATGAACATTTTGTTCAAGAAATGAATGGAATCAGTGAGGCGTAGAGATAGGGCCCTTGAGATACTTTTCCTTGAAGACTAAGCAACAAATTTCTTCACTCCGTCCAAGCTTAGTCAACACTCTAAGAAAATGTGGCTGCTACTGGGAGCTTTCAAATAAAGAAGAAAATTTTTAATGATGAATTGTTTTTAGCACCCTATGTCAGATATACAAGTTGTAGGGAGATGCATTAAGAAGGGATGGGAGAAAGGTTGAGCATAATTTTTGTTCCCTGATGCCTCCTGCCATCATCCACAGCACATGCTCTCCCATTTCTGTGCCATGTTACAGTCAAGTGCCTCTGAACCAGGACTCTTGCTCAGCTCCCACCAGCTGGACACATCTATCTCCAATTCACTCTGGGGCCTCCATGTGGTAGAATCCTGGTTTAACCTAATCCAATAGACACTCTGTTATGATCATCCATAAACATATGTAGACAAGCATAGACGTTTAACAAGATTAAAGAAGTGGGGTCAACAGAGGAGACTAGGGAGTAGCAGGCCAAGAAGAGTGTTAAAGGGAGAGGAGAAGCATCTCTGAAGTCAAAACAACATAAACTTTTTAAAGGAAGGAATAACCAGAAGAGTGAAATGATGCTGAGAAGCTAAGAGAGAGGAGTAATAAAAATGCCAGTGCAATTTGGAGTGGGGAATTGGTTACTGATTTCGCAAGAGACAAGCCAGGGAATGATGGAGAAGATAGGTAAGAGGGATTAGAGACTAAAATGGACTGTAAGGAAGTGAAGCTATGTCTTTAAATACCTTGGACAGGAAAGGAAGGAGAAGAGTATAAGAGTATGGATGAAGTAACAAGAACATAGGAGCTCAAATGAATCTTTTTTTAAAAGATTTTATTTATTTATTTGACAGAGATCACAAGTGGGCAGAGAGGTAGGCAGAGAGAGAGGAGGAAGCAGGCTCCCTGCTAAGCAGAGAGCCCGATGTGGGGCTTGATCCCAGGACCTTGGATCCTGACCTGAGCCGAACGCAGAGGCCTCAACCCACTGAGCCACTCAGGCGCAAGGCATTTCTTATCAGATGAGAGAAGTAAGTATATTTATGCTAACTACAGAAAGCCAGGTATGATGGAGAATAATCGACAAATCCACAGATATAACAGAAAGTAGAAAGGGATAATATAAATAGCTAAGTCCACTGACCAGACACTGTTCCAAATCCTTTATATTTATTAATTCGTCTAATCTTTTTTTCTTTTCTTTTTTAAAATTATTTTTTATTTTTTTAATTTCTTTTCAATGTACCAGAATTCATTGTTTATGCACCACACCCAGTGCTTCATGCAATACGTGCCCTCCTTAATACCCACCACCAGGCTCACCCAAACTCCCACCCCTACCCCTTCAAAACCCTAAGATTGTTTTTCAGAGTCCACAGTCTCTCATGGTTCATCTCCCCCTCTAATTTCACCCAACTCCTTTCTCCTCTCCATCTCCCCATGTCCTCCGTGTTATTTCTTATGCTCCACAAATAAGTGAAACCAATTGACTCTCTCTGCTTGACTTATTTCACTCAGCATAATCTCTTCCAGTCCCCTCCATGTTGCTACAAAAGTTGGGTATTCATCCTTTCTGATGGAGGCATAATACTCCATAGTGTATATGGACCACATCTTCCTTATCCATTAGTCCTTTGAAGGGCATCTTGGTTCTTTCCATAGTTTGGCGACTGTGGCCATTGCTGCTATGAACATCGGGGTACAGATGGCCCTTCTTTTCACTACATCTGTATCCTTGGGGTTTAACCTTATCTCCAAGTGTAGGTGTTCGATAGCTTTGGACGGGCAGAATACCTCTTCTACTGAGGTGGGAGAGAAAGATTTTAATTAAAATATATGTACGTGGGTATGTGTGTAAGTGCCTGAGATTAGACAAAAGAACTGAAAGTTGACAGATTATCTTTGAATATCTATTTTCTGGAAGAAATAAAAGAACAAATCCCTTTGGAAGTGAGTAGGGTGAGAGAGTGTGTCAGGAGGGTGTAGAGAAAAAAGAATAAGTTTTTATGGGAGATAGTTAGGGTTTGAAAGCTATCTGATATTAGTGGTAGAAGACACAGACCAGGTATACATATAGGGATCTCCATGCATTTCGTAGGCCCAGGTGCAGAAGGAAAGCCAACATTTGGGAGTAACATTCATCCACATATATGAACTAACACCAGAGAGTAGAAGCAGAGAAAACAAATTTAAATGAAACAGGTTAGTGTAGCAAAAAAAGATAGGGGCCATACTATTTGAGAACAGGGAAATTAAAGACTTTATTTTATAAATATTTTATTTATTTATTTGAGACAGTGAGAGGGCACAAGCGTGTAGAGAGGAGCAGAAAGAGAGAGAAGCAGACTCCCTGCTGCTGAGGGACCCAGATGTGGGTGGGGCTCAATCCCTAGACTCTGGACTCGATCATGACCTGATCTGAAAGCAGATGCT